GGAACTTTAGACCTGTGTTACCCCAAGGACACAGGGCCGCGAGACAGTCCATTCTTGGGGTGGTGGCGGCACGTTACCCCCAGACTAGCGAGTGTGCTCCGGGAGAGGGGTCGGCCGGACACAAGGCACCCCTAGAGAGGCATTCGGAGCCTGGAAGGTGGTTGGGCGCAGGGAGGTGGGTGGCTCAACGCAGGAGCACCCCCTACTGGCCCGCCTCACATGGTAGAAACAGCGGAGGGATTCGAATACCCAGCTGTGTTCCTGAGGTGGGATCTCTGCACCTGCCACAGGGAGATCATACAAGATAAAAATAGATGGATCAGTTGGTACAATTTTGTTTTTTAAAACTATGTAAGGAATTTTGCTTTCAAGTAGAGCTTCCAAGGAAGTTCTGAAATCCTTATGAATTAATAAATGAAAAAATATTTTTAAATGATAAGAATCTTTTACTGGTATAGGTGTAACATCTCTTTTTCACAAACACATAGATATTTTTGTTGACCTCTCTCATGATTAGTGATAAATAAATAGCAACAACACTATGAAAATTCTGTATATCCTAGTGAGAATGACATCCCATTTTGGCAACACAAGCAGATGGAACTAGAACTAATAGAGCCTCAGGGACTACAGCTAATTCCTTCCAACCCCTATTCAATGATTTTTTGAATCTTTGCTGCTTCAATCTTCCAAATATAGTGACTTGGCATGGGGACAGGCTCCTAGGAAAAGTGCTGTGAAGGGATAAGGACACCAAGAAATAGCTTTTCTGTTTATCATTTCTATTGGCACTGGATTTATGATTCGTATACCTTGTTCCAGGCAGACCCAAACCCTCAGACCGACCATGACCTCTCCATTTGATATTAGGCAAATTTTACTGATACACGGTGATAACAGATAAGAATAATGCAAATAGTTCTATATCTACCAGTCCTAGAGCTGTCACCAAGGGAAGGTACATCTGGCCAGTATGTGAGCTTCACCCTGAGGTTCTTTTTTTGAATGTCAGATGTCAGATCCTGGAAGTTGAAGGCAGAGATCTCCCCCCCCCACCCCCTGGGTAATTCTGGCTGGTGGTATACCCTCTGTCCATGGTGGCCTTGGTTCTCCTCTCAGGGTCCTTTTGTTTCTTTGAAATCCCCCCTTTTGTATCCTTTTCCTTCTCTGATGACTCTTTATTTCTGGGCATTGTTGATTGGTTTCCCTGTGGTCATCATAGTGTCCATGTTCTGTTCTGTCAGCATATTCCTTTGTTTCAACAAACCCATCACATGCATACATCTTAATTTGGTTATTTATTGGGTCTCCTAACTTGGTCTGTTCATAGATTCATAGAAGTTAGGGACTGGAAGGAACCTCACAAGATCATCAGGTCCAGCCCCCCCTGCTCTAAAGCAGGAAAGACTGTTGAGGTTAAATGACCCCAGTGAGGTGTGCGTTCAGTTGTCTTTTGAAGATCTCCAGGGAAGGTGACTGTCCTGGGAAGTGGGGTGATGCAGGATACTTACCTGCAGTCCAGAACAACGCTCCCGGAGAAAAGCGGGTAGAACCCGTGCGGCTCGTGAGCCACCTCCGTGTGCAGCTGTGGCCAGCTGGTGATGTCAGCACCATACGCCAGCCGGCGAAGATAAAAATGGTGGCGGCTGTGGCAGAAGGGGCAGATGGTTCTGGGACAGAGCTGCTGCAGGCATCGCTGGAGAAGCAAGTCCTGGAGGAGCATCCCAAGGGGGACGGAGAGATGGAATGAGAAGCATCGGGAAGGAAGGCACCCCAACAGGGTCCGCTGTCGCGCTCCGGAGAAGTGAGTGCTGGCCCAGAGGTGGGGGAGCGGAGGCAGCCACAAGGACCCCATGAGACACAGGTGAAGGGTTGGACCAGCGGGGAGTGGAGGATGACGCGCCAGGAGGCAAGAGCTTGGGAGGGCCTGGATGAAGGGTGGTGTTTGGGGCAGGGTCTCCGCCAAAGCCTCGGAGGACCAGCGTGAAGGGGCTTGGGCTCAGGGGCCGGCAGATAGGGGGAAAGTCCATCACCCCACTTAGGGAGGGGCTAGGCTTAGTAAACTATGCAGTGGTTGGTGGAGCAGCACTGCATTTGGGGCTGCAGACGATTGGCCCCTCGTTGGGGAAAAGGCTGAGGAAAGGTGGGGGGGGCTGTTGAACTGGTCGGGGAGGTAGCCACTCAGGGAGTGGAGTTATGAGTGAGGCTCGATTGGAGCAGATGCGACCTGACCCCGCGAGGCAGTAGTACGCAAGTGAGGAGGGCAGTATTTGCTGGTAAAGCCTCAAGACATCGACAGGGCGGCCCAATGAAAGGTGGCGTGAGGCTGGGGTGCAGGGGTGGTGGAGCCCCATGAACAACTGCCGGGGTGGGCCCGGGCACTGAGGAACCCATCAGATGACCTCGCCCATTGCAGAACATCAAGACGTGGCAGAAGAGAGCGGGATCGTTGACGCGGGAAAGTAGACCTGCCTCGATGCTACTAGAGGGCCTGAGAGCAGAGTAACACCTGGCAAGAAAACCAGAGCCACTTCCACAGGGATAGGGAAAGCCCGGTGAGCACAGTGACTATACCACTTCGGGGGGGGGGGGGGGGGGGGGAGAGAGAGGGGGTGTCTGTTCCAGCCTCTGGACACACAAACTGTAAGTAAGTTTTTCCTTATGTCTAATCTGATGCAATCATCTATCAGTTTACGACCATTATTCCTAGGCTTCTCCTGGGGTGTCTTGGTGAATAGGTGTTCTCATTCACCCCTTATATACTTAAAGGCTGCCACCAAGTCCTCCCTGAATCTTCTCTTTTTCAGGCTGAACAGTCCCATGTCCTTCAGCCTCTCCTCGTATGGTCTGTTCTCCACACCTCTAATCATTCATGTGGCCCTCCTTTGGACTCTTTCCAGCTTCTCTACAACCCTCTTGAAGTGCAGCACTCAGAATTGGACACAGTATTCCAGCTGTGGCCTCACCAATGCTGAGCAGAGTGGGAGGATGATATTCTTAGTTTTGCTTGTGATGCATCGCTTGATACATGCCAGAGTGTTGTTAGGTTTACCGGCTATAGCATCACACTGGTGGCTCATGTTCATTTTGTGGTTGATCATGACCCCTACGTCTCTTTCAGTTTTGGTCCCAGCTAGTGTAGCACCACCAAGCCTGTAAGTATGTTGTGAATTATTTCTCCTCAGATGGAACACTTTACATTTCTTGGTGTTAAACATTACCAAGTTTAGATCCACTCACTTTACAAGCCTGCCCAGGTCTTGATGGCACTCCCCCACAACTTGCTGTCATCTGCAAACTTTGCCAGTATGCTTTTCACACCAATATCCAAACTGTTGATGAAAATGTTGAAAAGCACTGGTCCAAGTAGTGAGCCTTGAGGGGACACCGTTGGCCACCTTTCACCATGTTGACATGGTTTCATCTATTAGCACTCTCTGGGTCCAACCTCAGAGCCAGTTTCCTAGCCACAGGACTGTTAAGTTGTTGAGGCCACAATTTCTCAATTTAACCATGAGGACATCATGGGAGACCAAGTCAAAGGCCTTTTTGAAATCAAAATATATGACTATGACCTCATTTCCCTTATCTAGGTGGCAAGTTACCTGATTGTAGGAGATGAGGTCGGTCAGGCATGACCTGCCTGCAACAAAGCCATATTAACTGTCTTCTGTTAGCTTATCACTGATTCATTCTTTGATACATTTTTCCAGAGATTGAGGTCAGACTAATTGGCC